TGATGTAGACTGGATGAGGGCTCACCAATCGCACTAGACAGATATAATGTACAATAACCTACTACCAATCGAGAATGGCGGAAGCCGTTTCTTTGAGCCGATTTACATTCGCCAGTGGCGGGGTTCGTGCCAAAGTCTCATATGTCCCGCAAACGACACGACACTATAAGTACTAAAAAGCCGGGGTGCGGCTTCTTTGTATCCGAGTATAAAAACGTCTTCGCGTTCTGGGGTGTATTATCCTATATTCTTGATCTTTCTCTAGCTCGGTTCTATGCTCTCGACCTGCATCAGGAGGATAGCTTCAGTCGAGACCTACTTAGTACATGCACCGTAAAGCCGACCTTTGCGCTGGCACGAGCAATTCGCAATAGGCGCCAGAGGATCTAGCGGCAATCAGCTAGTGCCTTGCTTGGCCAGATCATGTGATCCCCGGAGTCCGGCGGAGTCCGCCAGACTCGCTGGACTCAACGGTCTCGATGTTCTCCTTCGACTCGTCGTCGGCAGCAATCGGACTCCACTGCTAGGCTCAACGCGTCCGCCCAACTCCGGGGACCCTTGAAGACTTACTCCCAGACGTCATCGACCCTGCATCAAGCCCTGAATACCTGCCCTGATGTGAACAAGGACTTTCCAGGGGCACGGTGCTCCTCTACCCCGATGAGTACAAGACCTTCTCAACGACGGACGCAATTCAGTGAGCTAATGACACGTCTCGCTACCAACTAGCCGAGTCCTGCACCAGGTCATCAAGGTTCCTCGGCCTCGGTTGGAAGGGTCAGTAGATCTAGCCACCCTATTACGGCGGCCATGACGCAAAAAGATGTCTCGTCCAGAACGTCGCCACAATATATGCCATCGCTAATACAATCGTGTCTCGCCCATATAGAATCTCGTATCGTCATCATACCAGTCTTGCCAGATAGGTCCGTTGTGTCACCCCTTACCCTCGCTGTAGCCTGTAGACCAAAACGCCCCAACGAAAATGTTGGGACTGATCCGCACATACCCACGCAGGCTCGCACTCGCGTGGGAACAATCTGATCTCACCTTTATACTATGTATCGCCGAAGCTTATCTCTGTACCCAAAGATGGGAATGCGCAGGCCAAAGGCCGCCAAAGCCCCGGGCAACTGGGATAGTCCACGTGTTCTGTAAGGACGTTTGGTGGCGAATCACGAAGGTTCGCGGGAATCAGGTCACCATGGCTCTGGACTTCGATTTCGAAGCATCACAGATGGCTCGCACAGCACACTACAGTCGACACCCTCTTAACCCATAGGCCTCGGGACAGGCCCGAATATATGGGTTTTGAGGGGTTATGGGCTACGAGAACTTAAGCGCCTTATAAGCGCCCCTGATTAGTCCCAGTTAGCGAGCGCCGGAAAGGCGTCTACTGACCCTTTGAGGGAGCGCTATGGGATTTCGAACAGACTCACCTACCCACAACGTGGTCGGAGCATGGATGGACACTGGGAGGACTCTGGGAAGCATGCATCGAGTATTACAAAGGTTATCGATGAGCGTAATCTCAATGTGAGCCCTATTACCATATGGGTTTTGGG